AATGGCATGATGGGCTCCTGCGCTCCCTGGCTTCTAGGTGAGCCAGCAGGTGGTTTTTCTATTTAATACTCAAAGACTCAAATATGTATTTGATCACTCGAATACATAGCTGAGGTGTCTTGTGAATGTCTGTCTGCTGTTGCCCATATTTTACACTTAAAAGTATAGAATTAAATGTACATGAACTGGGCTTAAAACAGACCCAGGGTCTGACTTAAAAGTGTTTTGTAATCCAGCTATAAATATTTGGCAGCTTAAGCTACAATTTTTTAATCGCATCTGCATTTTATTCTTTCAGGAATGCACAAAAAGTCTCTGGAAATCACAAAAAAAGCTCCCGGTTCACCTGAATCGACGCATTCAGATTCATATTCAGACGAACACAAGGGGAAAGACAGCGACACAACATGGTCGAGTGGAGCTAACGGAGCAGACGACTCAGAAGACATGGCAATAGATTTGTCCAGCACTTCAAAACAAGAGAGTAAAGGCACTTTGAAAAGATCACCACCTCGCACAGAAGACAGCAGTGATTCTGAAACTGAGAGTTAAATATGCAAATGAATGTGGACAATATTGAAGAGCACATACAGTATAAAGAGACAAGAAGGACTATACAGTGTGTCATCTTTTGACAATGGTTTTGTTTGTCAGCTTTCCTGTGTTATTATTTTACTTTTGTTTATCAAGTATTTGAATACTTCTGAATTATTTTATCTTTCATGTGTAAAAATGATTCATGTAAAAAGTGTTGAATATTATGTTTTATGTTACGTTCATGGGAATTATCCATAAATCTGATTTAAAATAAGTCACCCTATTTTTCTTAAACATTTTCTTTCTTTTTCTGTCAAAAAATCTGTCATTGCTGGGTGACCATTTGTTCACCACTATTGTGAATGTCTGGTTTTGTTTGTCAGCTTTCCTGTGTTATTATTTTACTTTTGTTTATCAAGTATTTGAATACTTCTGAATTATTTTATCTTTCATGTGTAAAAATGATTCATGTAAAAAGTGTTGAATATTATGTTTTATGTTACGTTCAAGGGAATTATCCATAAATCTGATTTAAAATAAGTCACCCTATTTATCTTTTTCTGTCAAAAAATCTGTCATTGCTGGGTGACCATTTGTTCACCACTATTGTGAATGTAATAATATTTCCCTATTGTAATACAGTATGTGTCTGGGGAACAGAAAGTCTCCAGAAAGGATTCTAAAGCACTTTACCTGCTGTGATGATGAATGTTTTGCATCGATCAATGTCATCAACAGAGCAATATAATACCAGCAAAAACAAATCCACATCATGACAAAAAATTTAAAATATATATTTTATGCTTTTGATTCCTGCCTTCTGTTTCTTTATTGTTTCAGCACACCAGATATAAAAATATGTCATAGAAAATTACCTTGACTTGTCACATAAGAAGTTGGCTCATCACTGGTCCCAGTCTTCTTGCTGTCAAAGACATGAGACAGGTATACATATGCCTTCCAGAATAGATACTGCTGACCCGTTAGATGGTCTGTTAACACTTCATGTGGAAAAAAATAATATTTAAGCCAATCAGCAAAAAGATTAAGCAGTTTGTTTCCCAGAAACTGTCAGACTACTCAACAGCCCATTCATCTTTAATTCACGTCAGCCTTCTTTTATGATCCATGCCCAGCTATTTTTATTTTAACAACCTCAGCAAAGGCTCTGCAGATGTTAAATGCACCATTGCAAGAACATCACCTGCAGATCTACAAAACCATGTTCATTTTTTTATTATATTCTAGACAGTTATTGTTTAGATCTCCATGTTTAAAGTCACATCTGGTCAATGGAAACCGATAAACACAGTGTATTGTAATATTACCATATTTTGTTAATCACTATTCATTAAAATCACTTCATTATCCAATTGTTTAATGCAAAGGTTTAGCTCTAATACCGTAGCATTATCATCATAATTCATATTCTCTCATATCACACAAATGTATTTGCTTTAAAAACAACCATTTACAAATCAGCAACTTTGGAATAATCTATATTATATAATAATCTAACAAATATAAACAGAAATAATTGTAAACAAAATATTTAAATATTATTCTTATTATTAATATATGTATTGGCGTGTTATAAAAGTATCCACCTCATTCTGCAACTCGGGAATGTGCGAGACTTCCGATTGAATAGTCGCAGGTAAATAACTGGAAGAAAACGTGAAAAAACTGTAAACGGTTTGCGCTATCACCCAGTTTGTTTATGATTACGATAATACATTTAAATAAAATGATAACAAATACCAGTTAGCAATATCAAACAGCTTAACAGACTGTTTTGTAGATATCTATGGTTTTTGTAGAGCTAAAATAATTGGAATTACAAATGGCCACGCCTTCTCTAAAGTGGATAAAGTTTAGGCTAAATTTACTGTCATTTGTTAATGGATAGGTATTTGATAGTATCTATTGTTTTTTAAAGGTAATCTCAATAATATGACATTAGGGAAAGTAATTGTTTTGTTAGGGGTTTAAAGAGAATAATAGAAAAACAGATTAGCAGAGGAGAGGGGCATGAAAACTGAGATTAAAAACACTTCAGCCTGAGACAAGCTCAGGACCTAGGAATTAAATTATTAAAATACTATCAATCACTGCTGATCCCAATAATCTTTCGTGCCAACTGCCCTTAACAGAATAACAATTATAGATGATGGGTCCTTTTTAAACTATTATGTACAGGAAGATAATCCTACCTATTGTTGTCAAACAGCTTAACAGACTGTTTTGTAGATATCTATGGTTTTTGTAGAGCTAAAATAATTGGAATTACAAATGGCCACGCCTTCTCTAAGGTGGATAAAGTTTAGGCTAAATTTACTGTCATTTGTTAATGGATAATGGCCATTAATTAAAAATAAAAAAAAAACTGTTTTAGGGCATATACCAAAGAAGAGTTACATAAACATCTGTAAGCACAGTGTGACTTATGACAGGGTGTGATTGTTTCTTTTTCCTCTAACAGCAGACCCCGTTACTTTTTGAATAATTGTGTAAGTGCAACATCTGATAGACAGCATTGGTATGGACGACAGACCGCTGAATGTCGCGATTGGCCAATCACAGTCAAGTATTCCAGACAGCTGCATAATACTAACAACATTCATGTTTTAGCATTCCAAGAGATCTACAGAAAACATAATAATAATAATAATAACAACAACAGAAAACGTAATAATAATAATAATAATCCAATTTCAACATCTGTTCTGATTATAGGCTTAACTTTAACCCCACACAGGAGATTTTCAGATGCTTCAGAGCCAAGCACCAGTCGTAAAAATTAGCCATGTTTGTTGTACTTTCTGTGTGGAACGTGTGTGTGAGAGGGAGAGAGGGATTGGCAGACACCAAAGCTGTGATGTTTATGATAATGATGAAGAGAAAATATTATGTCCACTGCTAATTTGTAAATAGCTTAGCAGCGCGGAGAGCTCCAAACATGCAGATGTGCATCTGGCACTCAGCAGTCGTTTGGCAAGCCCTGTGGAATCACTGCACAAAGCTGATTTGGTTCAGCGTTTCCCCGATGAAGTTGACAAGGTTGTCTGAAGCGAGACCAGTTGGCATTTTAATGCATAACTAAAGCACAGTCCCTAGCCATGTTGTAATTTTCGTGGTTTGGCTGCTAAAGTTTCTGTAATGTCAGACAATGTCATCTGTGCATTCTCACCTCAGCTGGTAAACAAATAGGCTACACTAAACCTCTATAATAATATTGTTTTTGTTTGCGATCAATATATATATATAAACGGTACAATTTCTGAGTGTCCTGAATCTAAAGGCAATGAGATGCATTGCACAATGCCTATAAAGGTCTACAATGCAATAACAGGTGAACATGTTTTGATCGTGAACTGCTTCCATCTAGTGGCCATATGAAAGAAGGCTGCAAGCTGCAATAAATTAACTAAATCAGAGCTAAACCCTTTGCTTCATAATTTGAGAATGTGTGTGTAATATATAATGTATTAAATGTAACACAATAAAATTAAAAATGATATTATATATAAATAATATAATAATATATAAACATAACATATATAAAAACAATAATATATTATTGTATTATGTATAAATACAAACAATATAAATCATATATTAAATAATGTTTTAAAATATATAATAATAAAATTAAATGAAATTTGTTACTGAGCCTATATAATATAATATAATATAATACAATAAAAATACTTAAATGAAAAAAATTAATTCACTCTAAGGGAACATTAGCCTGTATGAACTACTTGTATAACATGAAAGTATCTCTGAACAGACATGATTTGAAAGATAAGGGCACAAAACCACACAAACAAGCAGATTATTTTCAGCAAGTAAACATGTAACACACACAACAGTGAAGTGGAGCCCACCGCAGATGATGCAGGCAGTAATTCTGTTTGATATGTTGTTTATTGGGATTAGCTCTAATTTGCAATTAGCACACAGAACATCTGCATCCTGCATCAAAAATTAATTACAGTAATCCCTCACCACCCATCCACTAAACACTCTGCCTTTCCTTCCTGCTTAGTACATTTGGGGCTACATTTACATGCATTCATTTGGCAGGTGCTTTAAATCACTTCATTGATAATTCCCTGGGAACATTCACACATTTAGTGCAGGATTTTATGGATAACTCTTATTTGTGGCCAGGACTCCAATGTCCAATGACCTAGTTCCATTAAAATGAGGGGTGTGCACAGCCACCTGAATTTCTTAATGAACAGAAGTTTCTATGTGCCAAAGCATTAATCTAATACAAAAAGATTTGAATTTATAATTCATAAATTATTATTTAAAGTCATAGTAATTCTGAATAAAGTCTAAATAATTCTCATTCTGAACCTCACAGAACAAGCCCTCCCACACATTGCTTAATTTTGCTATTTGAGCACAAGTCGATGACAGGTTACAAGGACTTTTATTTTGAAGTAAACTCCCCTAATGTGCGCCCTCTCATTGTTGTTCCTTTCACATTCTCAGGCGGAGAAAAGAAGCGGAGATCTGATGGCTTTGAAAAGGATCCAGAAGGTAATATTTTTTTTATTTCTAAACAAAATAAATGTCTTGAAAGAAGAATAGCATTACGGCGATCCAAAAGATCTACACATGGCTGATACAGTGTACCATCTCTCGGTCCACATTACTATAAAGTCAGAAGGTTAGAAGAATTTATTTTTCGGCCAGATGAAAAGAGCATGATGTTGAGAACAAAGAGGACTGAAGTCTTATAGGACATCAAATATTACAATTGTAATGTGTATGCATTGATTTAGATTGTCGACCGATGTTTTAGCAGCTCTAGTTAAAAAGGTTAACCTTATTTAAATAGTATTTCATAAAATAATTCTCAATATGTACACTACAGTACAATATAATATGAAAGTCATAACAACACTGATTATATAATATATAACGTGTGTATGTATACATACATGCATATATATATATATATATATGTGTGTGTGTGTGTGTGAGTGTGAGTGTGAGTGTGAGAGAGAGGTTAAAATTAAATGTAAATATGAGATGAAAAACGTAAACGGAGCCTTGGAAACTAACTGAAATAAATAATTTGAAGTTGAAGTACTAAATTTACTAAAACTAGAACTGAAATAAATGTAAATTAAACCTAACCAGAAATATTTAAAAACAGCAACTAATAAAAATGACAGAAGCATGTAACAAAGTGTACTAAAAAGGTACATTTAAAAAGGAACATTTAAAATGAAAATAAATAAAGAATAAGCTGTTGATAAATACTATAAAACACATTCTTTATTCTTTTTATTCTTTAACCTTGCATTTATAAGACATGGGTTACAGCTCATGAATTTTGATAATATATCAAAACTTTATATTATGTGAACTGTCAACAACATGCAAGTCTGTTTTTGAAACATAGACATTTACATGTGAATTTATACTGTGTTTGCAGGAGCTACAGGACTTGCAACGGGATCCCCCCTCGCAGTGCTCAGCTGGACCACTTGGAGAAGACCGTAAGTGTGTCTGCTAACTATGTACTCATTACTGGCCTTTAGTACTTTGACAGGACGGTCTGCTCAATATATTCTATTTGCACTTTCAGTGTTTCACTGGCAGGCTACAATAATGGGCCCAGTAAGTACACATGAATAATTCCAAGTTAATGTTTATTTTATGAAATTAGTTATTGGCTCAGTAAAACAAAGGAATTGGCTTCTGTCATACACAAACGCTTTCTTTTTATCTCCCCCTAGAGTGACAGCCCATATCAGGGAGGGGTTTTCTTCCTCACAATCCATTTCCCGACTGATTATCCTTTTAAACCACCAAAGGTGAGTGGACAATCACATCTGTTCTTTCCCCTTCCAAAAATGATTTGTTCTTTGATAATTGATACTATGTTGCTGACAGGTTGCCTTCACAACAAAAATCTACCACCCAAATATCAACAGTAATGGAAGCATCTGTTTGGACATTCTGCGGTCCCAGTGGTCACCTGCCCTCACGGTATCCAAAGGTTAGAGAGCACAAATATGGTCTTTTCATCATAAACATGTCCAATTAGATTACATCTAGATCATAATAAAGGGAATAATCCAGCATATGGATATGGAATAGACACGCAAGGAGTATACAAACGAAAGAGGACCTGAAAGAGGTGGAGCTCAGAATTATGGCTTTAAGGCATTAAGTGATCAACATTGGCTACCAGAAATCGCTTACTCTGCCTTTAAGTAAATGTGAGAAATATTCACGTTACTTTTATTAGCACCACTAAAATGATTCAGCTGTTTTCTGTTGCTGTTTTTCAGTTTTATTATCCATATGCTCCCTCCTTTGTGACCCGAATCCAGATGACCCTTTAGTTCCAGATATTGCACACATCTACAAATCGGACAAAGATAAGTAAGTGAGTTTGTTAAGTGAGATCTGTATGCATGGGTGACATTTAACTCTTGGGGGGGGATAGAAGGTGATAGAAGTATCAAAACAATGTCCTATCTTATTGCACGGCATCAAAGCAGTCAATAATAACAGCACAGCAGTGTTGCCAGGTTGGGCGGGTTCCCGCCCAATTGGGCTTCTTTTGGTAACGTCAGACCGGAAATAAATGTGTTGGGTGGGTTGATAAGATTTGGGCTGCTTTTTTATACAACTGGCGACTTTCAGTTTCCGCGCTTCCAAACATTTATGTTGGAAGAGTGTAGTTTAAAAATATGTCTAAAAAAATACCCTAACTACCCCCTTAAATTACATATACATATGTAAATATACATATAAATTTTTTTGTTTTGTTACTACACATTTTGGGCTGGTATTTTTTTAAATGGGCGGGTTTTACGCTGTAGTTGGGCTGGAGATCTTCAATCCAATCTGGCAACACTGCAGCACAGTCAAGAATACCTTAAAGAGATCGGACTTTCTGTCATCCGATACTGGAAATGAAATTACTGGTTGATATAAGTTTTTTACAGTGTCTTCAGTTCAGTTCTGCACGCTTGTGAATCATCTCATAACAAATTGCAGACGCTGTAAAATTAAGAGATTCATTGTGCAGTTTAGAAGGCTTCATGAGATCGGGATGAACGAAGATGAGTGACATCTTTCAATAATTATAAAGGGAGCGCTCTTTGCATGCTTTCTAGGCTATAATCCAGGGGTGTCCAAACTTGGTCCTGGAGGGCCGGTGTCCTGTTTTGCTCCAACTTGCCTCAACACACCTGCCTGGAAGTTTCTAGTATGCCTAGTAAGACCTTGATTAGCTGGTTCAGGTCTGTTTGATTAGGGTTGGAGCTAAACTCTGCAGGACACCGGCCCTCCAGGACCGAGTTTGGGCACCCCTGCTATAATCCATTAAGGATTTGTATGAATCTTTTGTTTTCGGCCACATACACGCTGCAGAGTTTCGGGAATGACATCCACATATGATGCACTCTTGAAATGGCGTTCTTGGCGTTTTCAGCAGTGAGTGAATTCTGACCAGCTGAAACACCTCTGATTGGCCGTTGCGTTTATGAAATCAACAGAAATGCCTGTGATTGGCTACACTGCTCAACGCTGCAAAAACACGTTGTAAATAGAAATTTAGATGTTTTCCAGAGTGCAAACACAAATACACACTGGATTGCCAGACCTTCAATTGAGGGTGCTTTTGCTTTTGTTTCGTTCAGTTTTCACCCTCTAAAACCCCCGTAGGCCCGGGCTTGGTTAACTGCTCCAAATTGCAGGGGGGCTGACATGGGAGATTCCATGACTATATTAAATTGGTACCAATATGGGGGCATGTCGCCCCTGTCTGTATGAACCATCTTCTCCCATCTGGTTCAATCTAAGCTGCATTTCTTTTCTACATTTTCATCTTTTATTACTATCAAGCAATACAAAAAGTGTTTGAGTACCAAATGACTCTGAATGCTTCATCAAGAGCTATTCTTTTGAATGAAGATGTCTGTTCTTGTCTTTTAGGTATAACAGACTGGCAAGGGAATGGACTCAGAAGTATGCGATGTAACTGGATGGCAAGATTTTGAAATGGTTGCACATGGACACTATTACTGCACACGACTCTGCAATGCACCTGTACAGAGTCAAGACTTTTATCAACAGACGAACCTTCCCCAACACACACACACACATATATACATATTTACATGCACAACTTTACAGAAAATCCTTGTTCAGGAGGCCGAGTCACTTGTCCCTGTTCACAGAGGCATCCTGGAACAACCTGTCAGTTAATACATAACAAAAAATATTGTTTTGTTTTCCAATGGATTAGTTACATTTTAGTAATTTTATTGTATAGAAATAAATACAATACTGGATCATTTTTATTGTTTTTGCATTAAAAGGTGTTATTATAAAATGTCTCACTGCAGCTGTTTTATGATGACTCTAGTACATTGTTTGACAATGAGATGATTTCCGTATCTGTAATTTTGGAATTAGTTCACATCAGGGATGAAACTATACACCAGGGGTGTCCAATCCTGCTCCTGGAGGGAAACTTCCAGGAAGGTGCAAGTTGGAGCTAAACTCTGCAGGACAGTGGCTGTCCTCCAGGACTGAGTTTGGACAATCTTGCTGTACACATTCTGCTCGCATTTTATGTTGCGTCGTAGCTTTGTGCCACTAGATGGCGATGTTATACGTTTTATCCCCACCAAATGGGTCTCACGCAATGACGCTTTATGCGTTTTAGTTTCAAAATAGTAATCCACCCAAGTAACGTCAGTCAAACTAAATCTTTAGTTAAAAATATATATGATGAGTTCATGGAAATTTAATCTGTTTGGCCATGTTCATACATTTGGGGGATAAAAAAAAATATTTTCTACAAAAGGGTTGATTTGATGACTAAAAACGTCAATGTCCTTATGAAGTAGGCCTAAACACTTTATCTTACAGAAAAATACAAAGACGTTTAAGTACAATTTTAAGTGAATTAACTTTTCTTAGGCTTTACTCTATTTAATCAGAATAAAATTATATTTTATTTTATGAAAAAGATATAGGTTTTGTTTGTCTAATTTTCTGCTTTTCTCTTTTTATTGAAGTGTATGTATATGTCAGAATCAGAATCAGAATCTGAATGAGCTTTATTGCCAGGTATGTTTACACATACGAGGAATTTGTTTTCGTGACAGAGGCTTCCACAGTGTAACAGAATGACAGTGACAGAACAAAAAAACACAGATAATAAAAAAATAAATAAAAAATAGAACAAGTAAAATAAGGAATAAAAAATATACAAATCGACAATCGACAATTGTATGTCCAGGTATAGAACAATAGACAGTTGTATGTACAGGTATATTATGTGCAAATTGAAATGTAGACTGAGTATGTGTGTTAGATAAATAAGTGTATGAGTGAATAAATAGTGTGTGTTCCACAGTTATTGTCAAGTGTTCATGAGATGGATGGCCTGAGGGAAGAAACCGTTCCTGTGTCTGGCCGTTCTGGTGCTCAGAGCACTGTAGCGTCGACCAGATGGCAACAGTTCAAAGAGGGAGTGTGCTGGATGTGAGGGGTCCATAGTGATTTTGCCAGCCCTTTTGCTCACTCTGGATGTGTGTGTGTATATACATATATATATATATATATATAAGGTTTTGTTGTTACGTGACAACAAAATGGAATTCCTGTATGTCAGGTCACACTGCAAAAGTTTATTGGGATTTTTTTTAAGAAAATAGTAATAAAACATGGCAAACTACTTGACTAGTGCCAACGTTTCTTTTTTCAAGAATGTCATTCTTTTAATTATGCTTTTTTTCTAGAGTTACACTGCCTAGACATTTTTAAGTTAAACAGGTTTTTAATAAATAAATACATATAAATAAATAAAAAAATTATTCAGTAATTGAAAACGTTCATCATAGAATCATAGAAAATGTGCATGAAAGTAATTTTGTAAGAATTGCATTGTAATATTTTTTTAATTACTTAAAAATATCGTAATTTCATAAGTGTTTTTTTTTTTTTTTTGCGCGTGCAGGGGAAACTGTAGGCGCGCGAACTGGATTTGATTATGGGAAAGTTTTGGGAGGAGAGTGGGCGTTGATCCTGACACGTGAATGCTCCCACAGGAGCATAATCCATCCATGCATCCATGTCCTCCAACTATAGTGTGTTCTGGTCTTGGAGCCAGAGGAAAAGTGGAGGGGAGAGGAATCTAGGGGCAGATTGATTTTCTCGGGGGCAGTAACTGGCCAGAGGGGCTTTAAGGGACTTCAAAGGCAGGATTGGAAAAACTTGCCTGGAAATCGGAATGTTTTACTCCTAATGTTGACTTGCCGTTTGCCTCTTCCACATATAAACCCCGTTTAGTAAGTTTGTATCACTTTAATGTGCAATGGCTGAGCCGCTGAGTTTCATGCATCATGATCAGGGCTCCAGCAGCGAGCGGAGTGACGACTCACCGTCTGCCGTGTCTGAGGATGACTCCAGCGGCCACTGCGGCCACATCTCCCCGCCTGACCCAGACTGGACCGAGGAAAGATTTCGAGTTGACCGCAAGAAACTAGAAACTATGTTACTGGGTATGTTAACTTCTTAAACACTTTCATAAAGAACTGGGAAGACAATTTGATATCTTGAAAATACTTTTAGCTAACCTTGCAGTGTCGCTTGGCGTCGAGAAGCATAAACAGTTCTGTCTAAAAATAACACAATGTTTCCTCGAAGTCCATCTTGAAGGAGATGTGTTGAGGACACTGATTTTTGTGTAGGACATGAAAACCAGCATTGGGATGTTTTATTGATTAATTTAGTAGCCAAATACGACCGACATTCACATGAACTAGCAACAATTTTTTGGGTAACTTTGCACTTAAACTATTAATAAGCTTAGGTTTTTGCATGGACTCTAAATGGAATTTTTAATCTTCTTATGTTCATTTAGTACAAATATGTGGAGGTTAGACATTCACAACACAACATGGTTAAGAAATAAGTTCAGTCATTTATTATTGGAGTGTCATGAAAGTTTTACATGAATACTTGCCAAATTCCAATCATTTCAATGCATTCAAGCAGCATCACAATAAAACGTCAGATATAAGTTATAAATATGAGATCAGTATTACTTATCCATCAAGGGCATCACCATTACAGTTACACAAATACTGGTTTCACTATACTGGTGAGAAGATCTCATAGACACACTGGTTTTTATACAGAGGTGGTCAGTAGGGGTAGAATTGCTCTACCTCAAACTTAAAGGGATAGTTCACCCAAAAAATGAAAATTCTGGCATCATTTACTCACCCTCATGTGGTTCCAAAATGGTATGACTTTCTTTCTTCTGTGGAACACAAAATACATTTTGAAGAACCAGTCAGCTTTGGTTACCACTGACTTCCATTGAATGGACAAAACAAAACACTGAGACATTTCTCAAAATATGTTCTTTTATGTTCCAGATAAAAAGTCATACAGGTTTGGAATGACATGATGCTGAATAAATGATGACTTTTAACTTTTGGTTGAACTATCCCTCATAAAAACCTGTGTATGTATGTAGTTTTGAAGCAATCATATTTCATCATGTTTTACTATATTTGAAAGAATATTTTCAAATATTTGGGCCACACGGTATCACCAAACCTGTGCATTCATACAAACACAGACTTTTGAAGTTATACTAGTGAGGAACTCTCATAGACCCATTGCTTTTTTTATACTAGGATAATGATATTTAATATTCTAGCCGTAAACTGAACTTCACCCAAACCAGTTGACATTATTATATTTGAAGTAAAATATAATTTGACTGATGTATGAGCATTCAAATCGTGAGGACCACTTCACAAGTCAGTTTTCACCATGTTTAACTAGATTTGTGTGGACATTTTCACAAATTCGGCTCTCACAAGTACAGCCAAACCTGTACACAAACATTTTTCAAGCAACATCATCTGGTTAAAGCTCATAATTCAACACTTGCATCATATTTTATCATATTTTACAGTCACTCTGTCAGCAGTGGACAGTTTATTTCACTGCAGAATAATGTTCAGTTCGTTTTGTTTTTCTTTTGTTGTAACTTCAGCAGAGTAGAATTTTAAACAAGTTTAAGTATTACAAGTTGAGGTCAGTGGTTTGGTATTGGCGTATTCTAAACATGTACAAAACTTCTGGTCTTTTATAGCAGGCCCTCTAGTTGCATTTGTTACCATGCATTCAAACCAACCAAACTCAAGATACAGTGCCTTGAGAAAGTATTAATTTTTTTTTTACATTTTGTTATGTTGCTGCCTTATGATAAACTTCTTTAAATTACTTTTTTCCACATCAATCTACACTCCATACACCATACTGACAAAGCAAAAACAGAATTGTCACAACTTCGTAAATTTATTAAAAATAAAAAACTGAAATAAGTACATTGCATAAGTATTCATGTATTTATCCATGTATTTATCCATGTAACTAAATATTTAGCTGAAGCACCTTAACAGCCTCAAGTCTTTTTTTTGTTTGATGCGACAAGCTTTGCTCATCAGCATTTTGCAATTATCTGCCATTCTTCACCTCACCTGTTCACCTCTCAAGCTCTGTCAGGTTGGATGGGGGCAGATGCACATTTTCAGGTTTCTCCAGAAATATTTGATTGGGTTCAATCCCAGGCTCTGGCTGGGCCACTCAAGGACATTCACACAGTTGTCTATAAGCCACTCTTGCTGTGTGCTTAGGGTCATTGTCTTGTTGGAAGGTGAACCTTCTGCCCAGTCTGAGGTTCTGAATGCTCTGGACTAGGTTTTCATTAAGGCTATCTCTATATTTTGCTGCACTGAGCGTTTCTTCTACTCTAACGAGTCCCTCAGTCCCTGCTGCTGAAAAACAGCCCCACAGCATGAGGCTGCTACCAGCACACTTTACTTTTGGGATGGTACTCTGCAGGTGATGAGCGGAGCTGGTTTCCTTCAAACATGATGCTTAGAATTGAGGTTCATCAGAGCAGAGAATCTTGTTTCTCAGAGTCTGAGGGTCCTTTAGGTGCTTTTTTGTAAATTCCAAGTGTGTTTTCATGCGTCTTAACCGAAGAGAGGATGGAGTTTGGCCACACCGCCATAAAGACTGGATTGGTGGAGTGTTGCAGCGATGTTTGTCCTTCTGTAGAT